GAAGTGGGAGGGGAAGGCACCAAGGGACAGGGTGCAGGAGAGAGAGACAAATGCCAGGAGGCCAAGTGCAGACAATGAGGGAAAGGGCAGGAGGGGAGGTGTCAGTGGGAGAGGGGACAGGGTGATGCTGGGAGAGGAGAGGAGAGGAGAGGAGAGGAGAGGAGAGGGGAATAGCTATTTGTGAGTCAATGATCATAGTTGATAGGTGGGGAGGGGCGCGGGGGGCTGGAGGGGGAGGTGCTGGGAGAAGGCTTGAAAGAAGGGGGGCATGAGGCAGGTCAGGATGGAGCAAATTGTATGTGAGGGCCCAGAGGGGCAGGAGAGGAATGGGGCAGAGAGTGGTGAGGGGGTGGATATTAGGGAAAATGGGGGCAGGGGCAGTAAGGGAAGGGGGAGGCACCAGGCGGGTCCAGGGGTAAGGGAAGGTGCAGGTGCCAGGAGATTCCGGGGGGTGAAACAGATAGGAAGACACCTGCAGGGGAGGGACCAGCACCAGAGGAGAGAGTCAGGGCAGGTGTGTAGATGTAGGTGTTAGGAGAGGGGATGAGGAGGGGTAGCTCGGATGGTGGGGAGGGAGAAGAAGTGGCCGCCGGAAGGAGGGCTGGATGTGGGCAGCGGGGCTGGCCAAGGGAGATTGGGAGGAGAAGTGGGGGGGACCTGGCTGCCCGGGAGAGGGTTGGGGGAAGTGGGGCTGACCAGAGGTGCAGCGGGGGGAGCAGGGGGGAGGAATGAATCGGCCTGCGGGGAGTGGGACTGACCCAGCTATATGTAGATCTTGGGACGCTGCCCCTGGTCCCTCCTCCACCCCCCCAAAAAAACCATGAGTTAGTCCGGCCCGGGATTCTATTGTCCCCACACACACACCCCTCAAGTAGTTGCGAACTGTCTGGCTGGTAGACACACTCATGCAGCCTGAGCACATTTACCAGCCAGGCAGTTTGAAACTACAAACTGATACACCTAGTAATAATACAACTTACCTAATGAGAAAATACCAGACATGTTATATGTCTGGTATTTTCTCAGTTTGTTTTTTATGTGTTTATATTTTTGGGCTGCAAAAAGTAGTACTGAAAAAAAAGGGTTCCAACTAAAGTAAAATGTTTGGGAAACCCTGGTCTAACCAGCTTTCTGTCTGTCTTACAGCCCATTTATCCAATCCATATTCCTTAACTTGCTGTCAAGAATACTGTGGGTGACCATATCAAAAGCTTTGCTAAAGCTGGCACTGGAGGTTTTGGTAGGACCAGAAACAACTTATTTGAATATTCATCATTTGAATAATGAATATGTAAATATGCAAATATGCAAATGCACATTACCGGTCCTCCAAAAGTTCGTGAATGGATTTACTGGTCCCCGTGTCAAAAAGTTTGAGAACCCCTGCTGTACACCATACTCTGTCCTAAACCAACACATAGATTGGGCAGCTGGGTAAAATTCCCTGAGCTACATTCTGGCTCACTCTGAGTTAACTAGTCAAAAAACATCTCTTGCCTATGAAAAGGCACAGGAAGACGTTCAAATTTCCCCCAAGTAAAAATGGGCAGCTTTAACCCTTTCACTTTCTAGACTCGGTCTACGAAGGCAACCTGACACCACTGTCTTAATATTTTTTTCAAATAATAACAAAGCAGAGTGAGGTGAAAGCAGCAAGCTTCTATGAGCGGATGTTTAATACAACGAAGCAGAGCTAATATTCAGAGCTTGACTTCCCAAACAGCTGAGCCTCCAAAGCTCCAATTGAAGGCCCTGGCTGTCATGAGTGATCAGCACCTCTTCAAGTCAGGCTTTAAATGATTGCAAGATCTGTCATTGTATTGCTGCTGCTCCTGCTGCTGTTGGAAAACATACAGTGTTTGTTCTCTCCAATCAACTTGCCAACAGAAGGTCAAAGTGCCTTGCCTCTAAACACGCCTTACAAATTTAGGATCTAAAAAGCATGAAGTCATGTCTTAAAATGATAAGCTGGCAACCCAAGTAAATAGCATTCTGTAAAGATGTGAATAATTTTATGTTTACGCTACTTAGGATGAAGGTTCTAATAAGTCATTGGTTGTGTTCCTTTAAAAGGAAGTTTTATAACTGAGATGAATCACAACTGCAAAAGATCAAAGTTAAAAAACATCAATGATGCCATGGGGTACTTTTTAATCTTGTAATGAATGATGATCATGTGCTCTTATGAAGTTGGTCCAACTGCCAACGCCAGATGTGTATATTAAGAAAAGAACTTGTTTGTGATGTGACAGCCCTGGGTTAGCCGCCAGAGAGAGAGAGGAAAAATAGGATAACATGCTTCAGACATTTGAGTGAAATGCAGGTCCTGGCAAAGAGAAGCTCTGTTCACTGATACGTAACTCATTAAGAAAAATACATCTGCTATCAAAGCCACTTGTTGAATAGAAGTTATTATTTCTCCCAACCACCTTGCTTTCCTTGTGCAAGGCAGGTGCCAAATGTGCTAATTTATTACAATGATTAATGTAATTACTAAAGGGTAGAAAGTAGTTCAGAGATTCTTAGAAGAAAAACACTTCAGTCAAGCTTCTATAGAAGAGTCTATTTTCCAGAACTGCTCTCTCCCTAAAATTCACATTAATGGCTCCCATTCAAAACAACTAGTGAGTCCCCAGTTATTATGATCACATATCTTATACATCAATACAAAACAGAGCTTGCACAAACCAACCAACCCTGAAGATGAGCATCATGGTTTCCAAGTCATCCATATAACATTCTCAACTTAAACTGAACCTTCGTGGCCACATCTGAAATGACTGGGAACAACATATAAGCGGACTTCATCAAAACTATAGGAACTCTTTTCAGAGATATCAAGCATCCACACTTAAGAACAGCAGACACTCAGCATATATGAATGTCTTACCCAAAGAGACTAGAGTAAAAAATTCAAGTCAGTCTTGATAGGATTTCTAAGATATATTAACATAGCCTGGTGGTTTTTTAATTGCTTGTTGTGATGGGCTAGTCCCAGTCTAATTAGATTATTCATTCTATAATCTGTGCAATCCCTGTCTATTCAGATGCTGCTCCCTATACTGTATACTCTTCTCCCTTCATCTCCACACCCACACTGTCTCCTCTGCTTGGAAATATTCAATATCATGGATGCATCAACATACGGAAGCAACCTCTAAATGGGATTAGACAAATTCATTCCTGATGGAATTAACTCTTTTCGCATTACACCAGGGACACATTTAGCCTGAAGTCTTCAAGCTAGTTAGACAGGGCCAGCAATCACAGGTGAACACAACATCTTTTGCAAGAATATCAAAATTACCAAAAGAGAGTGGATAAAACAAAACACTCTCTGTGGTGAAACCTGAAAGCAGAAAACCTCCAACAACAGCAGGTAGCACCAGAGGCATCTATGTATTGAAATGCATCAATACATAAGACCAGAGTAGCTTGACTGTTCTCACTTGCTGATCAGGAAAAATTATGCAGATGGGACAGATCTTATGTAAGGCAGAAGATATTTAAACCTCTTGTCCCAATTTCAGGGGAGGGACCTGAAAATTCAGCTTTACTGGTCTGGGAGACACTTCACTTGTGTACAACTCTACCTAAAGTTTAAAGTAAAACTTCCTAAGAGCTCCAAAAAGGTCTAGTCTGAATTTGATACTCAAAGACGAAACAATGAATCGAGATGCTTCCAATCAAATAATCGTTAATCGCTACATATAATTTAAATACAGCTAGACCTTTAATCCCAATCAATTTGGAAACACTGTTTCTTGATAGATTAAGAAATTATATAGGACTGGCTTTTCAATTATACCTGAATGATACAAGATTGATTACCAGTTAAACATGCCAGATGGACAGATAAACCAAGGTGAATTAACCTGGTCTGACTGTATCTATTAATAGAAGCTATATATAACAAGTACAGGAATATGACCAAACACCACTATCATAACAAGAAAGCTAGTGATCATTCCAAGTAGAATTAAGGAGTGTGGATGTTATACAAGGTACAGGGGTGAGTGAAAGTCTTTTTTTTTAATTAAACACCTTCTCTGTGCTTTGTAAATACACAAAGACAGTGCTGACAACATGCTAGGGCTTTTATGGTTACTCATTTCGCTCCTTGGCTCCCAGGATCTGTGATAAGTACCGTGTTGAAAATGGATGTTGTGCTAGAAAAAACCACTTCTGGGTGCGACACGATTAACCAGCAATCATTGGGCCAGACACATGGTCTGGTGACAAAAGAAGTTCTGAGATAAGAAGGTACTACTATTTCCCCCACATTCACTGGGACTGATCCTGCAAGGTGTGGAGAGTTTGCTAAGTTCTGTGTGTGCTCAGTTTGAAGTCAATGGAATTTGAGGGCACTCAGCACCTTGCTGGATTGGACCCACTGTCTCAAAATAGATTATATCTGGAAACAGTGAGCCTGATTCTCATTTACACCAAGGCCCCTTTACTCAATTTGCGCCGTATAAAGGACACTTGATGTACATAAGAATCAGGCCCACTGTTTCTAAAGGCCCCTTTTAAAACCAGAGTAGTGTATGGGGGCCTTAGTGTACATGAGAATCACGCTCAATGCTGTCCTAATTCAGCAAAGAATTTAAGCACATGCTTAATTTCAATCATGTGAGTAGTCCCACCAAGTTCAATGGAACTACTCACATACTATAGAGCTAAGCATGTGAATTAAGTATTTTGCTGAATGGGGATCTATGTTTCCTAAAGAAATGTATTCCATTTGTCACCCAGAGGCACTGAGACTACTGAGTGAAGTCTGCTCTATTAGCCATAGCTAGGAGCCCACTGGCTTTTAACTCATGCTGTAGAGGCACATGACTTTAGTCCCGAAAATCGCAGGTTCAATCCCTCCTGCTGATGACCAAGGTCTGTCAGCTTTACGTGTTTATAAGACTTTAGTAAACAAAAACAAACTTTGTCTTTTACAGATTCCCTTCCACAGATACTAAAGAATAAAGAGGGAACACAGTACTTACTCCTTGGCTCCCTTGGTCCATCGACTGTAACCTTTATCGCTCTGTGGTATGTAGCAACTTGTGGAGGGTTTGTAAGGACAGTTATTGTCAAGGTAAAACTCTTTCCTACAAAGAGAACAAACATAAAAAAATGAGGTGTGACTATAACACGTAAACATCCATATGCATGGGCAGTAAAGAATAAAAGGTATTTACAATTCATCCCAGTCATTTCCACAATCATGAAAATTAAAAACAAAACTGATTCTGGAGTTTTCTTCCCCTTCAGTTATGCTCTAATATCAGCAACACCATCCAAGTGTTGGCAGTTTAATATTTCTATTTAATATTAAATCATGACACAATGATAGAACAAGAGTAATTCACTGCTGAGAATAAGCCAAATTCTGCTCTCATTTATATCACTGTAAATCCAGAGAAATTTAGTTAACCTATATAGAGTGACTCAAGTTTCACTGTGGGGTGATAGAGAGCAGAATTTGTTTCTAATGTTATGTACTTTGCATGGTTTTATCATTTGATTTGTTTGACTTCACTATAATAAGATGAGGAAAAAATGTATTTTCCTCATGGGTGCCATTTAACATTTAGTGTGTCTATCTTGAATCTCCCTCTCACGATATTATTCTATCTTCATTTCCAGAGCAGACGTACTACCTTTAGAGATGTAAATGTTAAATGGTTAATGCAGGGGTGGGGAACCTAATGCCCAGGGGCCATTTGCCTGGATCCAGCCCCTGGGGCTCAGGGCTCCCCACTTAGTATTGAGGAGCCCATGCTGGTATTCCAGCCCTCGCTGCCCCCCTCGCTGGGCTGGAACACACAAAATCCACTAGGCTAGGCCTTCCCAGGCTCTGGTGTGTGAGGGAAATATGAGAAGTGTCTTTCTCCTTCTCAGTGAAGGGTTTTCTTTTTGTTTTTGTTTTTGTTTTTGCTTCTCACTTGTGTGTAGACCCCGACTGATTTTTCTGTGAGTCAATAGCCTCTGACCCAAAAAAGGTTCCCACCCCTGGGTTAACGGGTTCTCCAGTAAGCATTAGCCTTACCGGAATGCTTACTAGGCAACCAGTTAACCAGAGGACCTGGCTGGCAGAAACAGCACCCCCACCCATAATGGCCTGGCCGGCAGGATCCCAGCCACAGTAGGGCCAGAAAGGCCCCCACTGTCAATGGCTGTGGCACAGTGGGGCTGGAACAGCCCCCCCACCTGCTGCCAGTGGTTAACTGGTTAAACAAATCATTTAACCTGTTAACTATTTTTGGTGGTTTTTACATCCCTAACTCCCTTACATATATACCATCTATTATTACATCTTTAAACATCTATCCACTGAGTGAGAAATGGTTTTTGTATGTACAAAATACTTTCTACCACAAATCTGCATTGTAACATGTCAGTGTTAGATTTCATATAGACGTTGTGCATGATGATCTGCAGCGTTGGGCACAACAAAGAACTTAATAAAGAAAGAAACCAAATGACTGGGTCTCAGTATACATTCTCCCAAGACACTGGCCTCTGTTCTGCAGACTCACTGACAGTTGTAATCAGTCAGATATGCAACGGTTAGTCATGTCAGATAGTCAAAACTGCAAACTGTTTCAAGACAGGAAAAGGTGGGCGTACAACACTGACTCAATAAAACAGTCAGCAATCTCAGGCCTTATTGCTCATTTAAGCTGCTACTTTACCAGAATCATACCCACCCCCTTTTTTTTTTCGGCCAGTGCCTTTTATTCCCCTCTCACTGAACTCTGAAAGCACTCACCCAAAACACAAATCTTAAACAATATGTAAGAGCGCAAAACTTAATGCAATCAATTCAAAGCCTAATACAGAACAGGTTATATATAAGGCCTAATACAGAACAGGTCTTTGGCTGTCAAATCTGGTAATTGGTCTTTCTTTTCAAGCCAACTCATACACTTTCAAAACCTGCCTGAGACACACATCATTTATTATCAAGCGTACGACTTCAGACAGTCTTGGCTGTATTTTTTTCTAAGAGCAAGCGACAAAGAATGTTTCAAGAGAATAGAACTGTCACTTAGAGTAAAATAACTTTCCAGGTAGAACTGTGCTCCAGTGAGGCCCATTTCTCCAACAGACACACGTGAGAGTAAAGTCTGTGAGTTCAAGGCTCTGGCAGGGAGATGGGAAACCTAAAAGGTTAAATTCTGGTAGCTGGTAACAGAAGGAGCATGTGGAAGAAGTTGGGTGCCCTTATTGTTGCTCCTCTAGAAAAAGGTAAAGAGAGACCCTGTCGAAGGTCTCTCAAAACTGATATTGGAAAGAAAAGTGTGTATACTCCCTGTGAAAAGACTTACTATTCCCTCAGTTCCCATATAAACCATTCGTTCTCTCTGAACAAACAAAAATTAAATATGGGGGGATTCAGACACATAATAATGTCACTAATACAACACACACTGCATATACAAGTGCACTAACAAGTTTTATGCCATTTTTCTCACCATAGAAATAATTTCACCTATTGCTTACACAAAATTTCACTGATGACATTTCATCCACTTGTCCAGGGGTGGCCCATACTGCTAACATCTATGGAAGTTTCCAAGTTCATCTACAGACCAAAATTGGTCATATTATGGTTTTATAAATATGTCAAATGGCCATAAAAGCTGGCCTGGATTTTAAAAAAAAATGATAAAGCACATTGCTTGTAACGGTTTGAAAATTCATTCTACGAGACAAGTACTGCAAAATTCTCTAAACCAAAAATATCTCTGCATAATACAATGGCCAAAAAATACACACTTCATATAAAGGGCTATATTTTGCCTTCTGCCAAGGCCTGTGCGCATGTCTAAATGATCATCCTGCCAAAGCTGAACTACGAGCAGTTAAGCACGTCCAACATCTAATTTGAAAGGGGGAGAGTTTTCTTTTTCCCTACTTGATATTCTTAGCTAAACAGATGCAATAACATATCAGCGCTCGGGAAGTCTCAGCCCTCCACGTAATCAATCTACTGCTTTTTGTAGCAGAAGGGCCCAATCCTCAAGGTGCCCAGCACCCTCGACTTCCAGTGAAGTCAAAGAGGGTGGAAGGCATTTGGCACTTTTTTCAAGAGGTGTTCTGCGCATTATAGGATTGGGCCCAAAGTACATTTCTTAAAAGTATGTGTTTGTGTGGACACTTATGCTTTCCACAGTTCGATTTAATGGATTTCCTGGATATCTTTCATCCGCGGCAATATATTTCTATATACCGTTTTTAATAGCTTTCTTGGTGCCCTTAAAAATGTAAACTATTTACTTCTGGTAGCTAATGAATAATTATAGCACTCTTTTATGAGCCTCACTGGGTACGAAGTTATTTGGCACTGTTGCTCGAATGTGTCCCCAAACTGTGCATTCTTTGCCATTAACACATGTGAGACCAGCTGACACGGCAATCAGCAACTCTGACATATGCTGAAGCAGAAAGCTAACAAGAGACATTAGTGTGGGAGCATACGGATGACTTGTGGATGTGTGGCACTTTTTCCCCCATCCTGATGCTACTGTGATTAATTCAAAATATTGAGACACGAAAACATTCAGGGCCTAATCCAAACCCTACTGAAGATGGGTGTCATTCCATTGACTCCAATGGGCTTTGGATCAGGCCCCTAAGGACAAGTTACTGCCCTATAATCTGGGATCAACATCTGCTATCGAGACTAATTGGACTTTTGCAAACATGTTTAGGGCCTCATGTTAGGATGCTTGTTTTTCCTAATTGAAAAAAGGGCTTGTCTTGAGCTGGCATAGAAAATAAGTAAACAAACCTGTGAAGTTGCAGGTATTTTCTTTTGTTGGATAACAACATTAATATATGTAAACATCAGAGCATCCCTATTGGGTCATGGGAAAGATGGTAGAACATGGGAGACAAGGTAAGGAGGTAGGGTTGATGATTCAGATTTGATTACGTTTAAAGAAACAAAGATCAAAGAGGGAGCTATTTTGAAAAATGTAAATTTAAAGTCAGAAACAGGTGGGGATTTCTTGCCTCTGAAAAAGGATTTCTTCACGGTTTTATTTTTCCTCCCCAACTTCGTGGTACCTTCCAATATTCTTCTCTGCTCTATATGTAGCTTTCTCACTTCTGTTTGCTACTGCTGTGCTCTTTCCTGCTATTTTAAAGGGTGTTATAAAAATCTATCATTAGAGATAACTCTCTCTCTCTCTCTCTGTTCTAAGTCTGGAAGACAAGTCTGGACCAATTTCTCCATCCTGCCTCTGGCACCAGAATGTAGCATTTCAGATCTTCCACCAAGTCCCGGCTGCTTCAAAGGAAAATCCCTACTTTCTTCCGTTAAGATCATAAGAAATATAGGGGGAGGGGGTCAGCTCTGTTTGGACATAATTACACTTCATCAAAAGAAGCTTTCTTCATCTTCCATGCGTGAAAAGTCTGCAAGCAGTTAAGTCTGTCTTTTTTCTTTCTTTTTTTTTTAATATAAAAATTGCTATTTGGGAAACTAGCCAGAACTCAGAAAGCCAATATAGTAAAACAGTGCACACCCTTTGTTTTTCTTTGAAGTTTCTTAAATAAATATGTTGAGGGTTTCTAAAGTACACTATCACTTTTCCATAGATTTTACCCAGACTGATCAGAGAAAACTTCTTAACCAAAGACTGAAGAACACAAAAGATGAATTAAACTATTTTGGCCAAATCTGAAAAGTATATAGAAAGATATATAAAATATAATTTTAAATATGTGTGTATATGTATATAGTACCTGATCTTTTAGATACTCTACTTCATTTCCAATGAGATTAAGAGTGCACAGGTAGTACATCATATGTCATTTCTTTTTCAACACTTGTTATGGGTTATAACTACTGTGCTTTTATTATAAAGCTGCACTAGTAGTAGAGCCACAGAACTTTCAAATTTAATCCATCAATGGAAAGACAAAAGCAGACAGGAACTTTTTTTTTCCCAAAAAAGAAAGGAAGATGAACAGGAGAAGAACTCCTTAACCTGGACCTAGAGGGTGGGGCACTCTATTTTTATATCCTATTATCTTTGCAGTAGAAGCAGTCCTTTATTACACATACTGTTTTAAAAGTTAAAAGCAAAAAAATACACATTATTGGCCACATTCCTAAAATAAAATCTATTCACTGAAAACAGTCCTCACATAATCACTTTTATCAAATGTTTATAATTATAACAATGGGCCTTCTGATTTAAGCTATAGAGACATTTGTCAGATATTTAATTTTCTCTGACAAATGATCACACTGAATTGCAACTCTACTCAGCGTATTGTTATAAAATGAGCATTGTTATTAAATTGGCAACAGTGTGTGTGACCTTTATTTCTCCCAGGGTTACTTTTTTAAAAGTAAATATTACATTAAATGGTTAAAAATAGTTAGGATGTCTGTGGCCTGATAATAGCAAACCCCTCTGCAGCTTTCTTCAGTGGAAACTGACAAGTCAGTTTTCTTCAAGGCACCCTTTCAGTCATTAACTCAATTTTTTAAGTAGCTGCAAGAATTTTAAAAGGAAATTCTTTTAAATCTTGCCTTCCTTATAAAAGCTTCTGATGACTGGGGTATAGATTTCAGATTAGAGGAAGCTCTTAAGCAGTAGAGAGACAACTTCAAGGCTCTAAATCTTTAGGAAACTAGAAAGTTATCGTCCTGCCCCACTGTTCTCTGCCACTCTGATGTAAGCAATGTGTATTAGAGCAATGTGTATCATTCCCAACCAAATGCCTACAATCTAGATCTATAAAGTTAAGCAAGTTACTAACAGGAAACATAAGATTGCATTTTGCAACACAAACAGAGACTGATCTAAAGCATGCTGAAGTCAATGGAAAGTCCTCTGGGATTAGGATCTATAGCTCATGTGAGATGCAACAAATATAATGATAGCTCTTCCTGCTCCCAGTCAAGAAGAAGCTTTACTACTAAAGGAACACATGCATTTTTCTTCTCATGGCCTGAAATCTGTTGTCTGACTTCATATAACTCAGCATATGAAACTTCTCAACTCATTCTCCCTTCCCAATATGAGTAAAATAGAGAATCAGGTTGGTAAATACTTTTTTTTTCCAGAATTGAGATTTCATTAAAAAATGCAAAAAAGTCAGGCATCAGAAAAACCTGGCAAGGTGCAAAGACAACAAACTTGGTTTGGAGAAATGCTGAAGTTTGGGAACAAAACCTGCATTTATCTTTCGAAATGAAAGGCTAATGGATATTTATTTACAGATTAATCAGTATTTCATTTTGGAATCAGTTTCAATTTCTCGACTTCATTGTAAAAATAGAAAATGTAACAGCCTACCTCTTCCACTCCTGCCCACAAATCTTAGGTCATTAAACCTGGCCACTTGATTCTTCATCACAGCAGAGGCATTCCTTAGCTCTGCAGAATAGTTTTCATCATTTCCAGCCATGACAGTGACCACGGTCCCATCAGGTACTTCACCCAAAGCCACCACCTGTAACAATGGGGAGACATCAATAATTCTTGAAATTAGGTTGGAAAATATTTGTCTTTGCTGCAGTTTACAATCTGTGCCCTCGGTAGTAAGCTCTGTGGTGGATAGTACTATCAACTGAGTCAACAGTCATGAGCCCGCTGAGTAAGGAATGAAGTGTTACATCAAGCAGAGAAACATCTCATAACATCTTGCTTTCTCATAGTCTAATAGAGGATCCTTCTTTGTTTCACCTCTTCAGAAACCTTCAGTATCTTTTTGGAGAGTGTATGGTTTAATAACTCCTGAAAGCCAACGTTTTTCGTTGCAGTCTGTGTGCAGTGGGAAAACACGACGCATGGTTGACATCCATAAATCGTACATGAGAATGTATTTGAAATGGAAAGTTGGATATTATTTTCAGCAGCTATCTCGTGCTGCAGTTCTGTTCCACTGAAACGTAGACCGGCTCCTATCACTGCAGGATGTCAGATTTCACAAGAGAAACTGAGGCAGGCCTAAAAAGCTGGATGGGAGACCTCCAAATAACATCTAGCTGCAGTGGGGAATCATGCTGAGGCTTCAATATAGCACACCCACTTTGGAAGAGTGCTCCAACACTCTGTTACAGGGCCTTTTGCTGCTGAAACTGACATCTTTCAGATGCAACATAAAACCCTGGGCCCATCCACTTCAGTTAAAGATCTCACAGCACTTGTCTCAAGGGTAGGCTGTGGTTAACCCTGGTGTATTGTTCTACTTGTAACTTGGGCCACAAAGATGATACTAACATAATTTTGCCTTGAATTTCAAATAGATAAGGTTTTCTCATAGATTGTGTACTGCTGCAGTGAGCTGTTAAACAGATACTGCTTTCCACTGCATCCACAGGTGAGAACAAATTATTATATGCTTCTCTGAAAATAACTTTGGGGTGTAAAATAATATTGTAATATTCAAATTAGAACATTAGCACTGATTCATTAGGGAAGTTTATTTCAACATTACTTCATATAGGATGTAATAATTCTCCATTACAGTACCTAACAAATATTTTTCCTATGGTCTTTACAGTAACATTAATAACACCAAATATAAATGGGTAAGAAATACAAGCACACATTTTGCACATGAGAGTTTTACAGCTTTTTATAAAATCAGTTGGCCTGAGATAGACTATCTTATGATTCTACTGAACTCTGCCCACTACCATTTGATGGTCAGATATTACTGCTTATATTATTCATACTACAAAAGCAAATGATAATCAACGCTTTTTTAAAAAATATATTTTGTTATGAATTCAGCTTTAAATGTCTTTCTCAAAAATGATCATGTCTGAAACTAATCAGCTCAGGTCAAATTGTACCATCAATTAAGTAGAAATAATGAACAGTTCTGAATAAATATGACTGGCACAATTCAGCCTGAGTGCTGAACAGCAGCAAAAAATAGTGACAAACACATCAAATTTGAAATAGGCTTTAATTGATAGATTTTATTACTAAAAATTACTACTCTGGTGATCTGATTAGACGCAAGAATGTAGCAAAGCTGATGCACTGCATATGATGGATTAAATTTATGCCTGTATAATTTTCCAAAGACCACTTAGCACTCAAAGGGATTGTTGCCACTCACTTCACTGAAGCAGAATTTCACCCCTAAAATTACTGTAACATTACTGTAATGTCACTGATCACAAGAACATAGGAACCAATACATTGCATAAGGTCCATGGTCCATCTAACCCAATATCCTGTCTCTGGAAGCTGCCAGAACCAGATACTTCAGAGCAACATGCAAGAAACCTCAAAATAGGCAGCTGTGGGATAATTTGCCCACCTAACATCTACTTAAATCCTGAAGCCTGGGATTTTATATGAGTTCCTTAAAAAAAAAAAAAGACTTTTTACTGTTATAACTGTGGATGTTCTAATTATCCATATAGATGTTCAATGTGAGTTACAAAATATTTTTAAATATCTTTAAAAAAACAAAACTCCCAACACACAGCAACCAGAAAAGCAAAAGAAACTCAGAGCAAAGAAGGAAGTACAAGTCTGGCAGGGGGCCTCAAGAAGAGGGAGTGAAATTATTCTGTCCTCAATTCACCTCCTTGTGTCCATGTAAGCAGCAGATCAAATGTTAGGTAAGATTGATTACAATCTATCTTGAATCCATTCTAATAACGAACAACATAGATTGCTATCTGGACACAATGGAGTGAACATAAGTAAGATTAAATACTCTTTGATGACCATTCTATCTGGGATTCCCAAAGTCTTTATTTTCAATGGGTTTCACTCTGATCCATAAGTGTTTTTTTTTAATTGTTGTCTACTTAAGTTCAATTTGTCATTTTAAACACCAGTACCATTTGTGTATGATACTTTGTGGGTCACCGTGCTGGAGTGCCTAATAGGCAACTACATTATTCTTAAAATACAGCATCCTTTGACATAGTGTTATATATTCTCTCTGAATATTATTCTTACTAAGAACAGATCCCTGGAGCTCTGGGTGCACACATGAAACTTTGTCTAATAAAACAAAGTTCAGTCATACTGCGCAAAATGTGTCTCTACTACTTCGTAAGAACAATACATTTACCGCTGCCACTTTACATTTTTATAATGAAATATTAATAGGCTATGGCACATGTGTAATGTCATTGTTCTGGCCCATAGCTTTACAAAAAATCTGAACATTAAAAAAATACTTGTTATTTATCCACTTTTTAAATTAAAAAATAACTTTATTACTGCAAGACTTTTTGTGCAAAGAAGTGAACGTAAGTTGGAGCTTTTATGCCAGCTATAAACCTAAATGATTTAAAATATTTTAGATGGAAATCAAGGATTGTAGTGCACTGCAAAAACAAAAAACAAAAAAAACCAAACAAGCAGTAGTACTAATCATTAAATATAAATAACAAAACATAACTACTCTATGGGCTGTTCAGCTATTTTTCAAAGATTAATATCTCAGCCATTTAAAATATTTCTTTTCCAAAAGGCACCAATCCATACTAAAATACACATAAATTCCAAAGACTAAAAATGTAAGTATTTGGAGGAGCTAGCTAGGTCTCAGCAAAAAGGTACATGAAGCCACAAAACACAAATCTTCTTACAATTTGAAAATCACTTTATCAATGCACGTACTTTTTTGCATAACAATTCATGTCTGGTCTGGCAACCTGTTTGCCCAGTTTTAGTCCAATGGGATTTGAAATGGCCAAGGTATGCACTCTAAAGACTGACATTATAAATGTGAAGCAAATATACTATATAATAATATTATGCAGTAAGACTCTCTACATAGTAAAAAGATTGTTTCCAGAAAGAGCTCATGCACATGCTAATAGCTATTTTCAAACCCTACTATCTCTATCATTTCAATACCTTTGCTTGCAAAAACACTAAAAAACATTATTCGTATAAAGGGCTACCAGAATATAAAATCTCCTGTTATTACAAATAATGTTTTTTCTTGCCTAGAGTTTGCCAAAAGAGCATCTGAAGCTATTAAAAGTATTTTAACGGTCTATAACTTAAAACAGAATAACTGATTTGCACTACTTTTTGTTTAAAAAAATACATCTGGACTGACAATTTATACACCAAGTTTCAGCTTGAAGCTATTTAAAACAGCTGAGTTATAAACTCTGGAAACTGGGGGTTAGAGTGAAAACGCTGACAGACCCTTAACTACTGGTGCTACTGGGTATAGTTTGAATACTGTACGTTAATTTTTTTTCTTTATTGTTATTATCTTTTGTTACCTAATGCTTTTTGCTATCGGCATCTTGCACAACAACAAAGAACATACAAGCCTGATGTAACAACACTGTCTTTGTGCATCTCAATAAGATGCTCCCAAAGGATCTATCAATTTAGGGACAAATCCTGTTAGTCCTAATCAAAAAAGTAGTTCCGTTGATTACTATGGACCGTGAATGACATGAATATGATTTGGCCCCAGTCCCATAGTTCCAGTTTCCTTTATATCTTAGCCACCTGAACATTATTAAGCAGCTATGTTAGTAAGTGCATTGTTAACATTCTTCACTATAAAAATAGTTTGCACTAACTTAGTCTTACTACTCAGTACATTAAATAAGAACTCCCTCCACAGTTCATGTAAATATTAATATTCCAATTCAAGTGTCTTACTGAGCCAACATTATTTTTTTTAAAATACAATCAAAACTACCACTGTTTATAACATACTTCCTTTCCTACAATTGATTTATATGTTTTCTTTTAATTAAAACAGTGGTATGTCCAAAGTACTTTTTAACTAGAGAATCCTATACAGAATTATGATTTACTTAACACACCACTCAAAATATTATCATCAACATATTATTTATTGTCAGTAAAACTTCAGTTGCCAAATTTTAAAAAGCATGTCATATATAAGCTAGTTACGCTACACCCCACATCTGTATTTTTTTGTTGTTGCTGTTAAAGATAACTGCTAATGTGTCATATTATGTTATAGTGAATTTTTTGTTATATATGCACTGGGATTATTTCATCTTGAAACTGTGCAGTTATGTATCATTTCAATGTATGCAATGAAAAGAAAAATGATAAAAAATATACGTGAAAAATAATTAAGTAAATGTAAATAGGATTTAAAGTACAGTTTTCAGTAGTAAATAAAGGTAATAGATACAGAATTTATACAAAATACATGCTCATATAGTAGTCTCTGTGTGAAAATACAGATGTATATAAGTGCACACAAGCTTTTATAGCTGAGTGATGGTTTAAGTGGCCAAAAAACTGCTGGTAACCATGTCAATATCCCTGACACCTCAATAAACTGGATAAGTCTATGTAGGTCTGTCAGAATGGCCTTTCTTACTGTAGTATTTGAATAGTGTGCATACTCAATATTTCATCCAATTTAGCTAGTATGTGCATACATATCTACAGAGAGAGAGGGATTGGGAAATGCTCAAAAGACATCTGTCCTTTTGTCTGGTTTAAATATGCTCTCTTTCTTTT